GTTTAGTGTCTCTTTGTGTTACTATTTGCTATTTTCAGTAATGGTTTTTGTTGTTTAGTGTCTCTTTGTGTTATCGTGTTATTGTGTATCGTGTGCCCATGTGTCTATTTTAGCCGTTTAAAAGGTGATTCCTTGCGATTTTGCATGTGACGTTGCATGCGACGTCGCAGAAGTAGAGATTTCTTCTCTATTCTGATCACGCATACGTGAAAATTCAGCTCTAAGAGTACGGACAAACAATGCGACATCGCCTGCAACGTGACTTTTTTTGCGTTTCACACCGTGCGATTTTGCATGTGACGTTGCATGCGAACATAAACGTAAAATTTGGTTGTATTGCGAGATTGCATGATTGGAATACATTATGACATTCCACATCTATACGCAACGATATGGGACCAAGATTGCGTCTATTGATGGTTTTCAACCATTCCCAAGAGAATTAAATAACAAAAGACACGGGGGCCATGTTGGAAGATATAACAAAAGAATTCATTGACAATTCTTTTGTTAAAGTCCTCCAACATGGCCGCCGTGAAAACCATCAATTTCGTTCTTTAAAACAGTCCCACAATGCACCGCTATGCAACTCGACCCAGTTTCCCCTCGACATAATGGCTAATTGTCTGTTATTTATTACATTGTTGCTCACTGCGCAGGTACGAAAAGCCCAACTTCGTAAGCTGCTCCAGGAAGAAGAGCTGATGTTCAAACAACAGTTGAACGAGACAGGCAAGACATTGTTTAACCAGAGGACATGACCAAATAGCATGTGTAGAAAGGGTAATAGTTGTTTTATATTTAGTTTATATAGTTATATATCTTTGAGGGTATGGCTGAATGCAAATAATTTGAATTCAAAATTTGAGCAGTTTAAAAAAAAGCTACAAAAATAATAATATTAATATTGCTTATTAATTGATAACAATGATTTAATCTCTTTAACTTTGTTTTTGTTGTATCTTTCTGGTGAATTAATTTCTATCAGTACGAGCACAAGACCCGATTTTAATTGTTAAGCAGTCACGTGGGTATTGAAAATCACTTCTCTCTCATGCGCACTTTCAAATGCTTATTATAGTGACTACTGTTTAAAAAATATTTATTCATATATTCACTCGTCCATTCATTTTTTCCCAGTTAATTGATCCCATCTATCCAATGTCAATCATATTTGTCTGTTAGTGTTGTAGTTTCTCATTCTGAACGTTTATAATTATTGTTCGGTTGTCAGCAATAACCTCATGGAAACAACCCCTTTTCGAGATTTTCGAGAGAATTCTTTTCGTATTCAAGCAGTGAGCGCCAAAAACTATTTTCTTGAAGAAAGGCTGTTGTACAAGGCTAAAATCTTGTCATTCAGAAAGTTTAACTTGTTTGGAAGTGGAGATCACTGATGAAAGTGGAATCAAAGTGTTTAGCCAAAGCAAACATTTTATCCAAAAATGAGGTTTAGGCCTTCATTTGCCTATTTCATATATATTTTTTCTACAAAAAAGCCTGACAAAGCAACGTTCTAACACAAATGTAACAAAACATTTTTGTACAATTGAAAATACCACTTCAAACAGGCATTTTATCATAGTACATCAGTCTCTAACTGTTTAAAAAAGGTTTTGAGTGTTAACCCAAAACGAAAATTGGGATCAAAACTTATACGAAAGTCTAGTTTTTGGCGCTTTTTGCCATTATTGCTCATTATTGAAAAAAAAAAATCCTCTTAAACTTAAGAGTCGCGCTGTACAGTGAAATTTATAGTAATAACTTAATTTGGTCATTCTTTTGTAATCTCATTTTTCGTATTTTAATTTTTTTTATCCTTCTACACTTTACATTATTATTTTCAAGTCATTCAGTTTCATTATTATTATTATTATTATTATTATTATTTGTTTTTCATTATGTTGTCTAGTTTTTTCGTCGTTTAGTTTTCTATTTGTATTGCAGTTCAGGTATTTAGATTTCTTTACAAAGAAATCGTCTGAGACCCTTTTTTTCGTGATTACATACGTTTATCTTATTAAATCTCATATCAAGGAATCGTCAGCTGTATGGCAAGTTTCCAATAGAAAAAAAAAAATTATTGGGTATGGAGATTCTCCTAAAAAGTTTGATCAAGAGAGAGAGCCGTCAATATTATAAACTAATTACGATTTTGAGACGACAATACGAAATATAGACAGCTAGTTGGGAGAAAATATATTCGGTACTCGCGACTCCGCCCAATACGGAATATATTTTCTTACAACTAGCCGTCAATACTGTCGCTATATTGCCGTCTCAAAATCGCAATTAGTTTATAGTATTAGGGATAGCGCTCGTTTAAAATTCAAAGCTAGTACCTTGATTGATAGCAGTTTTATTTCAGTACAAAAACAAGAGGGCAGATGTCCAATTATTTCAAGAGCATAACTGAAATAGCCAAATACCTGTGTGACGCTCTCTTGTCTTGTTTTCTATTGGCTCACCGCAGGGGCTAAATTTGAAGTGGACTTTCCAGCCAGTTTCCACTATAACATATTCATTATTGAAAAGCTGAGAAACTAAGGCTTGGAATTAGAAGGCGAAAAGAAAATGGTGGCAGACGAAGTATTCTCCTGCGGTCACTTTACAAAATGGATTCTACTTACAAAAGAGTTATATGTTAGTAACTATGTCTTGGTTGCCACACTCGTACTCCTTTCCGTCCCTTCTGCGGTTCTTAACGCTTTGGTTTTTATCGTAATTTGGCAAAACCCGTCACTTCAAACACCATCGAACATTTTCCTAACTAATCTTGCGATTTCTGACCTTGCGGTTGCTGCTGTTGCATCTCCTTTGATGGTCACTTGGAAACTCCTCGAGATTGGCGACACAACGAGTAACAGCACTTGCAAAGTAGCATACGTTGGTGGTTTGATAACAAGTGCGTTTGGCTCGTTTTCTTTTTTCACCGTAACAGCAGCAACAGTCGACAGACACCTCGCCTTACGACTACACTTGTCTTACACCTCTGTAGTTACGACAAGAAAAGTGGTTATAACATGTGGGGTCCTTCTAGTATCATCTCTTGTATTATCGAGTCTAACTTTAATTGGTGTTACAGAATTTACTATTGGAGTCCTATCTTCTTCCTTCGTTTGTGTGTTCATAATGAACTATTGCTACTACAAGATCTATTCAGTGTTTCGTCACCATCATACCCAGATACAAAGCTACCAGTTAGGTGCCTCGCATCCCGAGTCATCCATTCCAAACTTGCGTCGATTTAGAAAAACAGTCATCAACTTATTGTATGTCCTAGGATTATATCTATTTTTGTACCTCCCTTTCATCTGTGCAGCGCTAACTCGAGAGATTCTTGGCGACACGATGTTTACTCTGAGTTTCATGAACATTTCCATTGCAATTGCTTTTTTGAATTCCTTTGTGAATCCTTTGGTTTACTGCTGGAGAATTAAGGAATTTCGTGTTGGGATAAAAGCTATCTTGCCTTTGAGGGATGTTTTCTTGAGAATGAGACAATGTTGTAGAGTGGAGAAAAAAGAAAAAATAGCTGGTCTTAACATTACGGGAAAGTCTTTTGTAGTGTAGTCTTTACGGACCCGCAGTAATTATTGTTATGATAAAAGGGTAAATTTTACCCGGCGAAAAAATGAAAAAACTTACTGACGTACTTACGTGCGTTTTTTCATTTTTTCACGGTGTATAATTTAYCTTTYTATCATTACTGTTTCATTAGAAACACMGACGCAGCTCACACTAGTTTTTATCTAGTTATCTTTTTTTAATTGTTGTTATGATAACTGTTGTGTGTCTGTACGACTTTTTCTGACTACTCTGAAGTCACTTTATAACTTAACCTGAATCAGGCAACTCCAGACTTCGAGAATACAACTTTTTGTAAAACTATGGACCCAAAAGAAAATAGAATGGAAAGTGAAGGAACAGGAAGAGAAAAGAAGGAAGAAAAGGGAAGGGACGTGAACAGAAGAGAAGGAAAGAAAAGAAAAAGAAAGGAAAGGGCAAATAGAAAAAGAAGAGAGAAAATAACTTTAAAGTAGGCTGTTCGTTTATTATCTCCAAAATTTCTGAAAATTAAATTTTCATCAATGTAACCAAAATGTTGCTTTTCTTTAAGAATATTAAGTCTTTCCATGGATGGCTTGTTATTGGAGTAATATTGCGGTTTGATAGTTTATACGATATCCCGGTGTACTTGTGCTTGTAAGGATCGATTAGCGCACTGGAACACATACAGAAAAGACCAATGACTCTATAATATCAGGCAGCTGTACAGTCCGTGTTGAGGGGTTGATTGATATATGTTGCTTTCTCACAGTACAATCACGATGTCTATATATTATCCTAAAAACCCGTTGATTATGATCCATGAAAGAACAGCGGGAAGTAGTGGTTCAATCTCCTAACTCGTTTGAGACTCGTGTTTAAACGTTTGACCCCGCAGTTTGAATTACAATACAGAAAATCWTTTTTTTTTGTGCTGGGAGAAAAACTGGTGCAACACGTGAGACAAAACCTCAAAAAATTAATGCGAATCACACAAGATTCAGTTATGTGATCGTTTTTGTTCGGGTTTCGGACAAGAAGAAAAAACCTATTGTTTTTTATCCCACAGATTGAGCTGCATTCCAAAGTGCTGCAAGGGGTCTATATGTTATTAAAAGTTAAAAAATGAATTCAATTTGAATTTTTATTTTTAGACCTATAATATTCATATGCAACATAACAATACGAAGTTAATATGTTTATTCAAATTAATATGTTATTAAATGTGAAAAAGAAAAAAAAGAAAAAGAAAAATCAATTAGAAAATTTTTTTTAGACCTGTAATATTTCACATACAACATCATAATACACAGTTAATATGTTTATTCAAATTACTATGTTATCAAATGTAAAAAAAAAGATTCAATTTGAATAATCTTTTTTAGACTTGTGATATTCACATACAATATTATAATGCAAAGTTAATATGTTTATTCAAATTAATATGTTATCAAATGTAAAAAAAAAAAAAGATTCAATTTGAATAATCTTTTTTAGACTTGTGATATTCACATACAATATTATAATGCAAAGTTAATATGTTTATTCAAGTTAATATGTTATTAAATGTAAAAAATGAATTCAATTTGAATAAAAAGAAAGAAACTTATACACCCAAAATAGCATGTAGTTAGTTTCGTCATCTTGTAATCTACTCGAAAACCATCATTTGTATAAATGATAGCAAAATTATTAAATTCGGTTTTCTCATGATATCGTAAATTTTCAGACGAGGCGGCATTATGTGTCAAAGCCAAATAATATATCGTATAGCTAGAATAAACGCTATGAATATTTTTCACAGCAATTAAATTTTTTTTTTCATTGACACTGAAAATTTTCCACTGTATTGTTTTTGCCATTATTTATCATAATTGTCATTCACTTTAAACAGCTGGGGCTCCCTGTGTAAAATCTTGGTCTTCAAATACCCAACTGACTTTGCGGTCATTTGCGTCTGTTTTAAAAATACGATTTTATTCCATAAAATAGGTTTATTATTGAATAAATAAAAGAAAATTGCAGAAAATTGCCTAAATCTTTACTAATAATCCAATTCGAAAGGTTTTTCAAAGCTAGTAAATAAAGGGATTCGGATTGTTGGACATCGATTATTTTTGAACTAAAACAAAATGGCGGCGATCGACGCAATGAACTATGGGTAAGTATATTTAGATGTAGACTTACTTCATGCCTTTGAATTTTCTTACTGTTTTATTCATTTTGCTATCCATTAAATTTAAAACTCGAAATATAGTAAGGTTACTTATGAGGACGAAAAGGTACTGAACCATATAAAGAGAGACCTGCCAAAGACCTGTACACTACAGCATGTCTACTTCTAAGAAGCATTCTGATTGGCTGACTTGCTTCTAAAACAGCCCTTTGATGGCAGGTGAGAGAAGAAACTGATGAGATATTTTCACGAAGGAATGCATTGGTGAATCGAGTAAAGTCTAAAGCCATTAAAATCACAAGAGTGAATCACCGATTGCAGCGTTCTCCGGATGGCTGCCTTGTGAAAAGATTGCTCAGGCGAGAAATTCCTTGATTTGAGAGGTAAGCGGGGTTAAAAGCCATATCAAATTCATCACATTCGTTGGTTAACTTTTGATTCGAGCTATTGTCTGATCTCAAAATCAAGAATCCGCCATTTGTATTGTAAGAAAAATATATAAAAAAAAAGAATTTTGTCGTTAGTAAAGTACCTACATACGAATAAAAATAACTTCATTCAGCCTTACCTTACATTTCATTAGTTTTTTATTCTAAAATTTTCTATTAAGTTTTATTTTCTTTATTCTCTACGAGTGAGGTTGAAAGGTCATTGGTAGAGATCAATTTTACCTACTAAAAAGTGGTGTTAAAAATTCAAAACTTTTAAGTCTTTTAATCTTAATTTTTCTTTACTTTTAACTTTTCAAAGTACGAAGCCAGCTTCTTTCATTTATTTTGTTTCAATTTATAATAATTTTCACAAAAACAAATTAGTCTTTTAACAAGATTTTTCAACATTATGAAATCTCGATATTTTACTTAATATTTTTAATGTTATATATTGTACACCGCATTCTTTTAATAAATTTTTTTTAAAACTCATTTTTCGATGAGAAAGCTTCCTCCTAAACTATTTCGTTAAATGTGACTCAAAAATCACTCGCTTTAGTCTATCTAAGCATAAAAATCAGTGCTATCCATGCACATAAACTCCAGCGCCCATGTTTTTTTAAAAAGAGATAAGGACGAAATTTTTATATGGACTATTTTCCGTGCGGATGGGAAGCGCACGCTAAAGATGTCTTTATAGCATCAAAATGGCTTCCTATTGTTTTCGTGCATGCGCGTTGACCAATCAAATCATAGTTACAGTATGGCTATGTACGGTAAAAATTTTCGGTTCCGACTTATACGAAAACTGCTTTAAACTAGGTATTTCTTTGTCCAAAGTATTTAACGTTTTGCTTTTGAGTTTGATTAATCTGTTTTCAAATTATTTGATATTTGTCATTTTTTACTGGTGTTTTTGTAAACAGAGGAGTCGAGAACCTGTTATTGAGGCCGCCATTTTGTATTCATAAATCAGTCTATTATGTTCTACACATTTAATTCGAAAATTAAAACAAAAAAAACAAAAAAACAAAAAAAAAAAAAAATTTAAACAACCTTTTTTCTAGACGAACTAATGGATGCTTTCTGATTTTGATTTTGAAACAATTATTTTGTAAAGATAATTTAACGTTATTATTTATATTGGAGTAGTTTGTTTCTCTCTTGGAAGTAGCTTTTCCTGAATGCAAACAAATTATCTCGCATTTATTCGGTTATGTTTGTTATCGTTTCTTTTGGATATCATTTAATATTTATGATATGCACGAATTTTACTTAAAGTCGGTTTTTCTCGATCAAATTAATCGAGTTCAAAACGTAAGCTGAAAAGGAAGCTGAAAAAGGAAGCTGAAGATTTCATATGGGAAGAAGCAACTGAAGTAGCCCTAACGAGTGACTGATTTTTGGACCAAAATTATCTTGACTTATTAGCGTAACCTCTGTCAAACCTTTGTCAAACCGCCCAAAGATCACGTGATTTATGTTAGTAGCAGTAACTTAGCACTTGAACAATGTAAGTAACAATGACCACAACACGTGACTATTTTTCTTGTTAAAGTATTTAGTTACCATGTCGGTCACAAATGACCTCATGTAAAATCTAATGAAATCCTATTTATTATTTTATTTTATTTTACTATACGTGCCTAACGGTTTGAGCAGTAATTTGTACATGACTGTTTGTAACACTGTTTCACGTGACCATCGATGTTGTCGCTAAATTTTAACGTGACTGAATCGGCATAGAAATTTTGGCACGTTGGCCACAGTTGTTTGTAAATACCATTTACCACGTGTCTATTGCTCAAAGCCATGATTTCCAATTTTCGTATCAATCCAGAAACCACGCCCATTCAAGGATGACGTCAGTAGTCCACGTGCTCGAGCAGATCAACGAGCAGCTGATCTGTGCAATCTGCCTGGAACGATTATGCAAACCTCGAGTGCTGGATTGCATGCACTCGTTCTGTACAGGATGCCTGCAGCGCATCGCCAATAATGATTCGTCTAGTACGATCACGTGTCCAACATGCCGTATGGTCACGCCCATCCCGGAGTCTGGCATCGAGCAAATGAAAGCGAATTTTTTTATCAATCAATTGCTTGAATTGGTGAAAAATAAAGGTGATGAGCTGAAGAAAGAGATCAGAGAGACAAAAAAGTGCGAGACGTGCGAAGACGACTCTCCTGACTTTGCAACGTCAAGGTAATTCTCTTGAATCATCGTCGCCCCTTTCCTTCCCTACCCTCTCCTCCCCTGTATATTCCTATCAAGGGTGGTGTAGCATTAGTGCACTCGGCATCACCAAATAAGTTACAGAGTTCATAGGTGTCTTCTTCAATGTGAAGGGTCTTAACCGGGTTCTCGTGTTTCCTACCTACGCAAAACCTGACACGCTAATAGGGGCTTTCCATCATCGCATGACGGCAGCCATGTTAGATGGCAGGAACAATACAATCGTTTTACATAAGAAAGAATTCAATCCCCGAGAGCAAAGGGATTTTATTGATCTGCCATCTAACCACAGGCAGCCCAAGCCTGTATTATAGGCGCCGGCACTTGATGGTGCAATATTGCTATTCCAATTCGATCTGTGAGTTAGACATGCCATGACTTTGATCAGCTCAGAGGTTGTTTTCTGCAGGGTATCGATACAAATTAAAATGTTGTTTACTATACATAAAACATTATTACTATCACCGTACCTTTTTTTCTTGTAGATGCGTTGACTGCAGTAAAGATCTATGCACGTCATGTGTAGCAGAACACAAACGCGCTCACGATACCCTTGACCACCGGATCATCAATACCATCGAAGGAGAAGACAATGAAGATCAGGAACTCGACCGCTACAGTCTATCATTTTGCAAGCATCACACCAGAAACGTCATCAAGTATTTCTGCATCACATGTGACGAAGCAATCTGCCGAGTTTGTACAATATTAGAACACCGAGAGCACCAGTATGTCTACCCTAAAGAGGCCTTGCCTCTCAGACGAACGGACATACAGGAATCTTTAGAGAAAGCGAAGGAACGGATACCACAGCTAAAGAAAACGATGTCAGAAGTAGACGAAATGTCTCGCCGGCTGCATGAATGCCATCAAACCTTAGCGCGGGAGATTCACCATAATACGCAAGTCAGGATCAAAGCTTTGATGGAAGCTGAACAGAAGTTATTGAAACAGTTGTCTGATGTGAACATATCGAAACAAAAGGTGAGGCTAGGAGTCTAGAGCAGTTCAACCATGCGTTAAATAGATGTCGTGTTGTGTTAAATGGCTCAAAATTCACATTTGCATGATGGCGTCATTTGACTCCCACATACCAGACTCCCTTGCACACTTTCTTTTGTTCAGTAAATTCCCAATTGTCTTTCTATTTCCATGAGGAAATACAAATTTGATTAAGAAAGAAAGTTCGAGAAGCATCTTGGTATAGAGAGACCTAACAAGAGACGCTAATGAGGAGTGCTTTCTTTTCGTCAACCAGGATCCGGATGGTGGTTATGACGTAACATGCATATGCTTTATAGGTTTTATTTAACTTTGTAGTAGTTAAATATTTCTTTCTTCGCAAATTCTAGGTCCTTGGGTTACAAAAGGACAGCATTGAGCTTGAGATCGGCAAGTTGACCGGGTGCTGTGAGTTTGCAGATAATGTGATGGTGTTTGGTAATGAAGTGGAAATACTGCAGATGAAAGGAAGACTGGAAAGCCTTAACAACTTGAAGGTAACACGCTGAACAAATTTTTAACTACTATTTTAGGTTTACTGTATGGAGATGCCGTATTTTGCCGTGCCTTGGCGGTGCCGCGCGTCCCAGTATTCGTCAGTGAAGAAATAGAATACGCGCGCGCGTTGTGCGTACATTAATAAGGCACGTGGGTATTGGGAGAACATTTGCGAAGAAGCATCGATACTTCTCGCGTGTAGAATTTGTTAGAATTCTCAATAGACTACTTCGACGTTGCGGCGGCCATCTTGAATCACAAGGGGTTATGGGTCATCCAGGGGACAAATAGACAAAGCTTTGTTACAATAATGGCGTAGATTGACATTTACGGTTCATAAATACCGTAAAATCAATAGTTTAACTAAATGTTCTTGTTAATGTAACCTAGCTTAGGCCTGGTTCTCATTAATTACATGGCCAAATTACTTTGGAAAATTGTTTAAATAAAATAAAGTAAATAAAATAACAAGACAATTTGACAAGAGATAAATTAATATAAATGGACAGTTCCATAACTGGAGAAATTTCTGAAATAAGGTGGAGTCATTATCTCAGCATATTCGTTTTATTTTGCCCCCTGGGGACCCATAATGCCTTGCGATTCAAGATGGTCGCCGCATCGTCGAAGTAGTTTATGGGAGAGACTATGTAGCAAGCAGTTGATGTAACGTATTCATAAAATGCAATGAAACACACCTAATACAATAGATATAACGACAATAGAATACAATAGATTTTCAGAATACATTACATCAACTGAGTGCTATGTTGGTTCTCCCAGTATTCCATTGAGCTAAGAGTGTACTTCAAAGTGCTGTGCCGGACGCAGCACGCCGTATCCGTTAGAGTAAATATTACACCCAAGCTAAAAGAGTTTTTATGCGTTTGTCTATTCGTAAGGTGAAACTTGAGCCAGAAGAAGATGATACAGTAGAATACATCTGCGACRGCAGCAACATCAAAACAGTCATTGAATCTGTAGGTAAGATTCACGCATCCAGTACCTTCGCATCCATCTCGTTCGCGACTGGCGAGGGGATCCATACAGCACGTGTCAAGATCGAAACACACTTCAAACTTTATACCAAGGACCGGCGCGGCGCCAGAAGCATAGGAGGAGATAGAGTGTTCATTCAATTGACACAGCCGGATGGTTCTGAGCTGCCATGCCGAGTTGAAGACAAAGGTGGGTTGCGTTTACCCACCATAAGTGCCATATGTGTCTTTCTTGCAAACTTTATTGTATTCTGGGTTAGGTTTCATTGTTTAACTCCAAATTCATTAACCTTGGCTGTTGTTTTATTATCTTCATGCCTCATGCTTCATGTCTAGCAACAACAAGAAAGAGCCTAAAACGATTTTGAAAACTTTGGCCATCGTTCCATCCTTTTCTGTATCAATATTTTGACCAATCAGAGCAAGCATACCATATCTCGGTTATTTGTTCCATTAGGTGATGGTACATATATGGTGTACTACACACCAGAAGTGAACGGACACCATCAGGCATCAGTCATGATCCAAGACAAGCCTATCATGGACAGCCCGTTCACCATCCTTGTGGTCAACCGTCGAGAATACAAAGAGGTAAGAACCTGAGAAAATCAGTCTTAGAGCGCTTTCTATGTTTCTGAGACTTTGCGCTTATGTAGACACCTGGAATTTTGGAGACTAGATTGGTCGCGTAATAGGCCCGCCCGATAGGTCGCGGGACATAATCACGTGACTGTTACTGGACGTCAAAAAATTATTTCAATAACTTCTGCTGCATTACTAATGTCATATCCAAAACCTTTTTTAAATACTGTTTCCCCTCAATAAAATATCTTTTTTTATAGTTTGATGTTTGTCAGTGAGGAGGGCCTTTCCTAAGGAACCTTCGGCTAAGTTGAATCATTATCAAAGCGATATATATCAGCACGTTACTATTCGATGCAAAGGGCCTATTCAGCTAGTGAAAAGTGATACATCATTCTATGAAGGGCATGTAATTTACAGGGTTCGTGCTACTCCTTAAACTCCTTGAAAACTCACGTTTTTAAGGGCACTTGAAAAGCTCTTGAGTTTTACGATGTTTAGCGAAACTCCTTGAAAACTCCTTGAATTTTTGCTTTGTTGATTACTTGCATGGTTCTGAAATAGATCTAGTCAGAAAGATTGGAAAATCTGAACATACTCCTTGAAAATTAATTTTTGGGCCCTTGTATACTCCTTGAATAGTCCTTGAATTTTAAGTCGTTACCTCAGCACGAACCCTGAATTTAAAAATTGGCTTTTATTAATGCCAAAAATCATGTCCTAGATTGGTCCAACCCTCATGAGAATCGGCCAATACGGCAGCAAGAAGAGAGAATTCAAATCGCCGTTCGGTGTAGCGGTAGATTCAGATGGACGAATCTACGTAGCTGATAGCTACAATCACCGTATCCAAGTCCTGGGATCCAAAGGTGAATACGTCACTTCCTTTGGTAGTCATGGGGACCGTAAAGGGGAATTCAACTGCCCAACTGACGTCGCAGTTGATCAAAAGGGGCGTATAATCGTATGTGATAATGGCAATAATAGGATCCAGGTCTTAAACCGCAATGGCGGATTCATTGGTAAATTTGGTCGTGAAGGAATAGGCAATGGATACTTTAAATCTCCATGGGGCGTGGCCGTGACGCAGAGGAATGAGATCCTAGTGGCTGACATGGAGAACCATAGAGTACAAATGTTTTCGTCCGAGGGGAAGTTTATGTTCAAGTTTGGCAGCCTCGGCGATCGCCCTGGTCAGTTAAGCGCGCCATGTTACTTGTTAATAAGCAACGACGATGACGAAATTCTGGTCTCTGATTCCAAGAATCATCGAATTCAAGTTTTTGACATGAATGGAAAATATCTACGCCACTTTGGAACCCATGGATCAGGGGAGGGTCAGTTTACGCATCCCAGGGGTATTGCAATAGATATAGCTGGCAATATCATCGTGGCTGATATGGGTAACCATCGACTACAGATCTTAGACTCGAAGGGTAACTTCTGCAAAGAGGTAGGCACTGAAGGTAATGGTGATGCAGGGCAGCTCTCGTTCCCTGAGAGTGTTGCTATCATGCCTAACAGTGGGTATATTGTAGTCTCTGATTTGAGCAATAACCGCATTTATGTCTTCTAGTTGGACAACTTTCCTATGTATTCAATGTAGCATACACTTAACATATATTCATAACTCATTCAATGTTTAAAGGTACCATTTGGTATAACTACACTGATATCTATAGTGTAATATTTAGAACTACACGCGCGAAATCGTGCAGTTTTCTGTCACACAAGTTGGACAACTTTCCAATCTATTCAAAACTCATTCAGTGTTTAATGCCACCAAGTGGTATCTTACTAATATTTCAGTATAACGCTTTAATACACACTTTGCAGCACGTCGGAAAATTTGCAGCTCAATTTGGAGGACATAAAAATTGATTTCCAATACTTAGGAGATTGAAATTCTTTGGTTTTGTCCTCCAAATCGAACTGCTTTGACGTCATACGCAAGAGGTCAGTTTATGACACGCGCAAAATCGTGCAATTTTCCGTCGCGATGAAGTAGGTTTTAGTGGACGTCAATCAAGGCGTTTCCATGACATTCCATAGACACGTGCCCTGGTAGTATGTAGGTTTATGAAAATGTCATGGAATTATTCCATTGATTGACATCCACCCAAACCCTTTTTAGTCGCCACGGCAAATTAAGTTGTACGATTTCGCACGTGGGATTGAGAAACGCTGTAACATTCTCCAAGACAAAGCCCGGCCTTTTAGAATGCTGACAAAGATAACAGAGATAACAATTCGCTTAGAATCAAAGATATTTAATTTACAATTTAATTTAAATTTATAGTATAAAATAGTTAACTTGAAATCAAACTGAATCAAAAAGTGTTCCTTTCGAATGACTGTGACAAGTTACGATATTCAACACGGAATTAAAGACATTCTTTAAAAAATAAAAAATAAAAAAAAATAAATACAATGAAGAGACCCCTTACATGTGTCGTCAAAGCAGCTCGGTTTGGAGAACAAAACAAAAGAATTTTATCTCCTGGAAATTGGAAAGCTATTGTTATGTCCTCTAAATTGAGCTGCTGCATTCTGACGTGTATGAGTACAATGTAGATTTCTCGTGATGAATGAAATAGAATTCCACCATATGAGTTCAACTAGTAGCATTTATCATCGATTTAAAGAATGAAAAATTCATATTTCATGGTTTTTCTTGGCAGAATCATGGGAAATGCTAATCAAAATTTGATTTTGAATCCTCAATTCTGATTGGTTGATCTTGAGTTTGTTTCGAAGATCAACTCAGCTAATGGTAATTCAAATTTTCTTCAATATGGTAACCATAGTGATTGTTAAATGCTCATATAGTCTTATAATGAAGGGCAAAATGAAGAGGTGGTATTGGCATGAAAGGAATTTACTATAGCAGCCATATGAAATAAGAGCTCAGAAAGAAAAAATCTGAGCTCTAGATGGCATTGGCATGTTATGAAGTCAAACACGATAACACTATGTCGATAACACTTGTCGTATTCACCTTCATTTAAATACTTTTGATTTGCAATCTTTCCCAATAGAATAAAACATCGGAACATTTAGCCGCCATTTTGGTTGACTCGACGTTCCTCCAACATGGCGACTATGAAAACCAGGCAAAACAAAAAAAAAAAAAAAAAAACCAAAAAACAAAACAAAAACCCGCGTTTTAAAAAGTCCAAATTTATTTCAAATGTCTATGTATATATTAATTTTGGTAAATACTAATCTTGACTAGTTTTGCTGTACCTCTTAAAAAGTTATAAATTAAGTTAATTAAAGGTTATTACACGGAACGTTGTGTAATATGGCTTGATATACAATGCCAGTTGTGGTGTATCTCGATTCGCCCGAGCCTTTTGTCCCCAGAAAAAGCTTTTCTTATATAAATGATTGTAGCGGTAGTGTCTTTGAACTCGCAAAGCTGCGCTTTTTAACAAGTTAAGTGAATATAAACGCTTATGTGCTCGCTATCACTAAAGTAAATAATGGTCAGCGTATGATTCTATAAGCCGCATCCTTCCAGAACAAAGAACTAGATCTAGCGCGCCTTGCATAACTACAAGTTAAGTAAATATAAACGCTTATGTGCTCGCGATCACTAAATAGATAATGTTCAGCTCGTTATGAGCCGCACTCTTTCAAAATAAAAAATAATTAAATTCAGCTTACTTTTTGAAAATAAAGTGTAATAATTTATTTTTAAGCTGTTTATGGTATGACGTCATTGCCGCCATCTTGACGTCATACCTAAAAGACTTTCTCTGTCGCATTATATATTATTATTTTTTATCTGAATGAGAAGCAAAATAAATAAATAAATAAATAAATAAATAAATAAGCAAACATAATTTTGCAGTAACGCTAAAAAAGCATTAACAAATACTGCCAAAGACGGGAGAAAAAGTAAAAAATAGATATGGAAAATATTTTTCCTCTTCTACAGTTCGGCCGATCTGGTCTTGCAATGTCGGATGTACCTGCTCTTGGGATGTGTCATCATTCTTATGGTGTCTAGTTTTAATGCATCTCTTGCGAAACATTCGTCGTGTTGTAAAATCCGTTGTCTAATTACATTTATGTTCCTTTGTGACGTAATCTTTTTTTAGTGATGTCTAAAAAGACGTCATCATGCGAACCAGGCATTCGCTAGGTCCATTGGCAATGAAAAGAAATTATTTAAATTCATGTTCCGCTAATCCAACAGCATCTTTCAAGTCTGGCAAAGGTTTATTGAACCCTTCTTTGCCCTGGAGGAAGTAAGTCACGATTGTACCTTTGCCCTGGGGGAAAAAAAGAAGAATATTGGTTAAAGTTTTTCTCAGAAAATCTAGTATCTAAAATTATATACATGCATTTTCCCCTTCATATTGCTTTAGGTCTTTTCCACACGTGTCTGGAATATTTTCAAAGTGGCATATTTTCTATTCCCTTTTCAAACAAAGTCTCATTCACACGTAGCGCATTCGAATCGTTTTCAAGGACAATCTGCAAACTGACTAACTGTTAGGTCATCTTGTCTGGCCAACCTACCTTCATGTTGACAGGACCTCTTTCCTGCAGATGGTAACCGCCTAGAGCTCCTAGGACTTCTTTGCATTCAGGACTGACATGAATTCGTAACGCTGGAGAAATGTTGAGGTTTTAGTCATGTTTTGTTTTAAAATAATTAAAGAATGCAAGGTGGTATGGAATGGAATAATGGACGGACGGATGGATGAATGAATATGGATGGGTGAAATTAAATAATTGAATTAAATGATGGAAAGATTAGGGATATGTGGCTGGCTGGCTAGCTGGCTGGATTGGGTTGGATGCGGGATGCACGAGATAAAGCGGTATATGGATCGACTCACCTAGTCCACTTGATTCCATCCTTGAAGCGTAATTCACTGTATCTCCAAACAAACAGTACCGAGGCATTTTCAGACCAACCACCCCAGCAACACACGATCCTGAAAATGAGAAACGGGAATACTTGGTACATTTGTCATCAAACACAGTCACAAGTTGAATGGATCCAAGTCCGCTACATTTGATTGGCTGTATCTACTAACCTGTATGGATACCAATTCGTAGTTGTACTCTTCTCGTTGGCATGTGTGGAATCTCAAAGTCGCGGACCGTACTCAACAGATTGAGAGCCATCGATGCTATCTCTCCGGCATGCCGGTTACCGTTACGTACAGGGAGCCCGGATACTACCATGTAGGCATCCCCTATAGTCTCAACCTGGGAGAAAAACAAAAACAAAACTGTACCTCATGGCTTTTTCTCCTTTCTGTGATACTCCAGTTTCGAATTTTCTATTGCTCTGGGTTAGCCTTGATTTATTGAATTTGTGAAGTTGTGCATTTTTCACTGTGAATATTCTGATGCTGAATATAAGGATAAGTTGATGTTTACAAACCTTGTACACATCGTGTTCGTCGACCACTTTGTCGAAACATGTGTAGAGCGCGTTTAGGAGGTCGACGACCTGAAATTATAATGACATGGAGGACGAAATGAAAAGGAATAGGAAAAGAAAGAAAGAAGGAAAGAAGGGAGGGAGGGAGGGAGGAAGGAAGGAA